GCGGGCAGGGTGGTGGGGCCGCCCGCGTGTCGCTCCCGCGCGTGTCGGACACGAGTGGGGGGAGGTGGTCCGGCCCCCGGGGGGAGCGGGGCCAGTCCCGCTATGGGGCGGCTCCCTGACTCGCCCCCTGTCCCCGCAGCTCCTGCCAGCAGCGCTTGTCCTACACCATCCTCAGCGACCTGGCGCTGGCGCTGCTCGACGGCGCCGTCTTCGAGATCGTCCAGGGGCTGCTCGAGATCCAGCACCTGACGGAGAAAAACCTTTACAACCAGCGGCTGAAGCTGCAGAGCGAGCACCGCGGTGAGAGCCCCGCAGAGCCGGGCCGAGCCCCGTAGAGCCGAGCCCCGCAGAGCCGGGCCGAGCCCCGTAGAGCCGGGCCGAGCCCCTCGCTAGGAAACCGGCCGCTGCTCGGCGCCCTGGACACCGAGAGCAGCTGGCGTCAGGTTGCACCGAGATCAATAGCTGGGACCTGGGGGGGAACCAGCGTCTTGCAGCCTGATCTCAAGGCCTGGCAGCCGCCGGGCACGAAGCAGGAGCGGCCAGCCCGTAGCTATCCCATCCCTGAGCGTGTGCTTCTGGCAGGGATGTTGGGAGCATTTCCCCACCGCCCTTGTCAGGTATAGGGCTATGGCCAGGCCGCAGAACCGATGCTCTTGTGCAGACTGAAGAATTAATAGAATTCCTCAGTGGAAAGTGAGCTACATCCCTGGCTACATTTTAAAGCGCTCGGTCTCACTGTGGGTAGCCAAGAGACTTGAGAGCTTGTGGACAGAATTCTGCTATTCAGACACCGTGATCAATACATTAGTGCGGTGGTTGGTCTTCTGTACTTTGTCTCGGGGTATCACTCGTTCCATCCGGAGATGCTCTGCTCCGGATGGCAAGGGAATTATTGAAAGCGGAGTTCGCTGAAATAGGATATTTAATTTCCGAAGCCTGGCCTTCTGCTGGGACTAGGGGAAATGCTGGGTGTGTCTTCCTTGCCTACTGTCGTTCTGGCTGGAGAGTCTAACTTTGTATTTATTAATCAGTGCTCAAGCAGGAAATGTTCCACAGACACAAAGAGGCCCAGCAGTGCTGCAAACCTCACAACCTGCCCGTTCTCAAAGCAGCTCAGCAGAGGGAGCTGGAGGTAAGGCCTTCATTAGCACTTGCTTCTTTGCCGCTTGTTGGAGCTGTTCCTACCAGCTGCAAATTGCAGCCTTGTTGCAGTAGTGTGTGTGTGTAAAAACCAGTAAAACCACATTTAAATGTAGGGCACAAATATTGAAGCTGGTTCTGAAATCACTCTGGAGACCTAGGAGTTAGACTTCCGGCTATAGGATCTGATGATCGGAAGTCTAATAAAGTTCTTTCCTCCCCATCTTTAATCAGTAAGTAATGATGATCAAACCCTGTGGTGTGCTCTAGACTACCACTCCCAGGGGCCTATCTTGAGAAGCCACTAGAGGAGGTGAAAGTAATTGATTATTTGTGTACTGTGAACTTCTGGTGGCATGTAGCAGTTCCATCATATTTACATCTGCAGTCAGAGCCGTCCCAAGGGGGGTGCGGGGCCCGGGGTGGATTTGTCTCTTCCAGGACCGACCGCGCTGGCCAATCACACCAGCCTGCGGGGCCCCCCAAAGTGCGGGACGGAAGTGATGGATTGGTCTCCTCCGAGACTGATTGCACCAGCCGATTGCGCCAGCCCGCGGGGCCCCCAAAGTGCGGGGTCCGGAGCTGTCACCCCTTTCGCCCTACCCAAGGGATTGCTCTGACTGCTGTTAAGGCCGCCATACTAGTCAGTGAAGTACAAGAAATACAATGCTGCCTGCTTCTGCTGCTAGACTCCTAGAAATCAGAGCTGGCAAGGACTGAGCAGAGGCAGAGAGTCAGGTTAGGAATCTTGGTTTGCTTACTGACCACGCCCAATCCCCAGAATTCCCCCTGTGGGGTTGTTCCCTTGCTCAGCTTATGCCTTTATTTATCTGAGACCTTTTCTTGTGACATAGGCCAGGGGTTCTCAACCTTTTTATTTGAGGCCCCACCAACCTGCTATAAAAATTCCACCTGCTGCCTGTACCACAACAGCTGTATTTCTGCATATCGAGTAGATTAAAAACCAGGGCTGGCGTTAGGGGGTAGCAAGCAGGGCAGTTACCTGGGGCCCTCACCACAGCCGCAAAGCTAAGTTGCGTGGGCCTCAGCTTCAGCCCCGAGTAGCAGGGCTTGGACTTTGGCTTTCTACCCTGTAAGTCTAACGCCAGCCCTGCTCTCTGGTTATTTTGGCAGACCCCCTGAAACCTGCTCGTGGCCCTTCAGGGGGCCCTGGACCCTGATTGGGGGCTGATCTCTTCCCCTGGGTTTCATTAGACAGGAGCTGGAGAAAAGCTAATAGGAAAGTAACCAGAGGAAGAACATTAAACTTCTTTAGCGTTAGAATTCCAGTGTCTTTTTCTCATTTCTCAGGCTGTGGAGCAGCGCATTCGAGAGGAACAGCGACTGATGGATGAGAAAATAGTCTTGGAACTGGACCAGAAAGTAGTTGACCAGCAGAGCACCCTGGAGAAAGCTGGAGTGTCTGGATTTTACATCACCACAAACCCACAGGTCTGTGCGTGAGCAGGGAGTGCAAGATTTGTCAATACTCTTACAAGTAAATGGCTAAAAAAACTAGAAGTGAAGGGGAAAATACCAGAAGCCACCCTCATCGCTTTGTCCAGCCACATGGCAGAGGGTTTGAACTCTCAGCCTCCAGTGTCAGAAGTGTGATCCTTGCTCTGCTGCATGAACTGAAGGGCTAAAAGCTTGTCTACATGGCATATTCATGCTTGGCAACGTGGTGTACTGTAGACTTACAACCTGGCTTGCTGCATACACGAACTCACGGTGTAGACATGGTATAAGCCCTCTGGCTGGAAACAACAGCAGGCTCAGGGCCGGATCCAGGCACCAGCTTACCAAGCAGGTGCTTGGGGCGGCCACTTCAGAGAGGGGCGGCACGTCCAGCTGTTCGGTGTCAATTCGGCGGATGGTCCTTCACTCCTGCTCAGCGAAGGACCTCCCGCTGAATTGCCGCCGCAGATCGCGATCGCGGCTTTTGTTGGTTTGGCTGCTTGGGGCGGCCAACCAGTAGAGAGGGACAAAGAGCCACCCTCTTCTACTGTGGGTTCCATTGAGATGAGGAGCCACTCAACCCTGAAACTTTAGTCTGCCTCATCTAGAAAATAAACATAACCTTATAGTGAACTGATCACTTTCCTCATCTATAAATCACTGTCATCACCTCTGTGTAGCTGCCTACTGAAAAGGGACGTGGTAAAGGATACCGTTCTTGGTTGGAATCTCCAGCTACTGCCATAATAGAAATAACTGATTGTTTTCCATAAATCTCCTTGTGCTCATGCTCCTATTCCAGTTTGCTCTACTAAACGCCTCTATACAAAGCAACAAAGAGTCCTGTGGCACCTTATAGACTAACAGACATATTGGAGCATAAGCATTCGTGGGCGAGTACAAACACGAAAGCTTGTGCTCCAATACGTCTGTTAGTCTATAAGGTGCCACAGGACTCTTTGTTGCTTTACAGATCCAGACTAACACGGCTACCCCTCTGATACTTGACACCTCTATACAGTTATTTTTCAAAAAATACAGAAATATTATTGATCTGTATTACCATAGTGTCTAAGAGGCCTGGTCATGGACCAGGACCCCACTGCTAGGTGCTCTACAAAAACAAAACAAAAAGATTGGCCCCCTGTCCAAAAGACCTTACAATCTAAGTAGGACAGGAGACAGACAGAGAGGGGAGTATGAGAAAACGGACACCGTATCGGTCAGCATTATCGGCAGTGGTCTGAGCATACCAGGGGCCTAACCATTGTCAAATTTGTTGTAGGTATCCCAGAAAAGGACATGTATAAGAAGGGTTTTGAAGGAGGATAATGGTGGTTTTTACAGGGGTGCTCTTCACAGTTGAGTCATGTTGTTTCCCAAGGGAGTACAAGTAATAAACCAACCAGACCTAAACCTCAGTGCTCACGCCACCTTTTCCTTTTGTGAGCATTTTAAGTTTTTAATGGCAAGTGTCACCTAGTGCCATACGTGCTGCAAAGGTGACAGGCCCCTGTGGCCCCTCAGCTGGTGTATTGACAAAGAAGCAATGGAAAAGGAAAGAACCTTCGTAAAGTGTTGAGTCTTAAATCCTCAGTACCCTGTAATGCAGGGGTGGGCAAAGTATGGCCCGTCGGACCTTTTAATCCGGTCCTCGAGCTCTCGCCGGGGAGCGGGGTTGGGAGCTTTCCCTGCTCTGGCGCTCCAGGCAGTGAGCGGGGTCGAGGGCTTGCCTTGCTCTGCACGTGCAGCAGCTTCACACGGCTCCCGGAAGCAGGGGCAGCCAGGGGGCTCCGCACACTGCCCTCGCCCCAAGCGCCGGCTCTGCAGCTCCCATTGGCCTGGAACCACGGTCAGTGGGAGCAACGGGGGCGGTGCCTGTGGACTGGGCAGCGCGCAGAATGGCATGGCCCTGCCTCCGTGTGGGAGCCGGAGGGGGATGGGCCCGTTTCCAGGAGCTGCTTCAGGTAAGCACCGCCCGGATCCTGCACCACTGAGCCCCCAGCGCCCCAAACTCCTGCCCCAGCCCTGATCGCCCTCGAAACCCTTTGATCCCAGCCCAGAGCACTCTCCTGCATCCCAAACCGTCATCCCTCGCCCCACCCTAGAGTCTGCACCCCCAGCCGGAGCCCTCATCCCCCCCGTGCGCACCAATATCCTGCCCCAGCCGGCCATCCATACAATTTCCATACCGAGATGTGGCCCTCAGGCCAAAAAGTTTGCCCACCCCTGCTGTAATGGGATGATCTGCATCAGATCGCATGTGGTGATGTACCTCATATTTTGTGGACATGTTTAAACCAGAATAAGCTTTAGTTCTGCATGGGCAGCTTCTCTTTCACTCCCCTAGTGCGACTGAGAGTCTGTGTGCAGCAGATCAGGTTCTCCCTCTGCAGCTCTTGCTAGCAGCTAGTGTCTGAGAAATGGGACGGTCTGATTTCTTCATTAAAGTCTTTCCCTTCACAGGAGCTGACTTTACAGATGAACTTGTTAGAGCTGATACGGAAGTTGCAGCAGAAGGAATCACAGCCAGAGAAGGCTTTCTCCTGAGTAGGGCACAGCTCCTCTTTGTCCAGAAGCTCCCTCTGAACTTCACACTAAAGAACAGGCTACTTCCAATATTTTCTCTGCAACATCAGAGAGACGCCACTGGTCACCAAGTGTAGAAGAAACAGCTGAAACTCTTAGATTCCTCTTTTGTGGAGGGAGGGGGGTCATGAAGAGCAGGGGGGGTCAAGTAGAGAGCATTGTGCTCCTTCTATTCCCTTCACCCCTCAGCACATGGCATCCATTCTCATTCCCCATGCGTTCATGACCCAGGTCCTCAAGTACAGCTGTTGAGGAATAACTTGTGGGATTTAGTGGCCTGTGCAGTGTTCATCCAGCCCAGAGTCAACGCTCTTGGGTGATGTGCTGTGTGGAAAACGTGCACCCAAGCCCAGACACAGTTTCTGGGCACTTGAAGGGTATGTGTAAGGCACAAGATTTCTCAGGGAGAGCAGTAATCCTTTCCGCTGGTAGATTACCAATGTGGCCCCATGTTGGGTGCCAGTCCCTGCCTGCACCCCAACCCTCTGCCACACCTCGCACTCCTGCCTGCACCCCACACCCCAACCCCCTGCTTGCACTCCCGCCTGTACTCCACACCCCAACCCCCTGCCCTGAGCCTCCTGCCTGCACCTCAACCCCCTGCTGCACCCCAACTTCCTATCCTGAGCCCCCTTCTGCATCCCCCACCTCTTCTGCACCCCAACCTCCTGCCCTGAGCCCCCTGTCTGAACCCCAAACCTCTGCCACACCTCTTACTCCCACCTGCACCCCAACCCCTCGCCCTGAGCCCCCTATCTGAACCTCAACCCTCTGCCACACCTCGCACTCCTGCCTGCACCCCACACCCCAACCCCCTGCCCTGAGCCTCCTGCCTGCACCTCAACCCCCTGCTGCACCCCAACTTCCTATCCCCCACCTCTTCTGCACCCCAACCTCCTCCCGAGCCGCCTGTCTGAACCCCAACCCTCTGCCACACCTCACACTCCCTCCTGAACCCTGCACCCCAACTCCCTGCCCTGAGCCCCCCCCCATACCCCTCCTGCCCCCTCTGGGGGCAGGGCCAGGAACAGCGACGGGGGGGTGTCAGCGATGTGGCCCTCGGGCCAATGAACTAGTCCTCATGCAGCCCTCGTGGTCATTGGAGTTTGAGACCCCTGGGCTAGGCTCACAGGCCCAGCAGCTAAAGCCAGGCCCCACTGAGAGCAGGGGGAGATTAGCCTGGAGTGTCAGGAGTTGAGGCTTGGCCCATGGGGACCCAGGCACTGCTGCTGCTGCTACCTTCATGGTGAATCCTCCAAAGCCTCGCCAAAGGGCTCTTCCACATTCTGCAAACCGGCCTCACGGGCTGACTGTCTAGGAGAATAGAAACCCTTTGCTAGAGCAGGAGAGGCTCTTGCCACGGCTCCCTGAGGGTCACAGTCAAACACCTGCGAGTCTCTAGGAGGCTCTCAAGCAGTTCCCTGCTCAGGCATTTGGCACCCACTAGCCATGGTCTCTGACAGCGGCATTGCCAAGGGGAGCTCAGCAGATGGTCCCTTCTATGGCTTCCTGAGTGGGAGGGAGGTTGGTCTTGTCATTTAAGGCCTAGTGTCAGAGTCAGGGCGCCTGGGTTCTCTGACTTTGGAAGTGGGTGGAGTCTAGCGGTTGGAGCTGGACTGGTATCAGTCCCACGCTTCCTTCCTGCCTCTGTCAGGGGCGTCGTGTGTGACCTTGCAGCCGGTTGCTTTCTATCCCTATGCCCCAGCGAACAGGGATAATACTGACCCCCCCTCAGAGGGGCTGGCAGGGGTCACCAGCATCATGACTCAAGTTGGAATGAGTTGTGCTCTTGGTTATGAAGGGCCCAGATTCAGTCCCCATGGATGCCCAGGGAGTCTGTATTGTGGCCATGGTTTGACTCACCTAGCATTACAGGCTGTTTAGCCCGGTCCTGGCCAGGCATGGTGCATCTGCTCCTGGCCCTCTCAGACACAAGAAGATGGCCCACCAAGGACAATCCATCAGCTCCCATCTGGTGTTCAGCTCCAGGATGGATGGGGAGCCCTAGCCGGACCATAGAAAGACAGGGGGGTCGGGTGTTCTTTGGT